ACTTCAAAACAAGTTTTAACCTTTTAAGTTTAAGCCACAATCTATACATACCAGAAATAAAATCATCAGGGAAAAGAGGAGCATGCCAATTATTCTTAACCACATCAAGGAAGGAGGAATGAAGCAGCCACATATTCTGAAATCTAAATTGAGAAGAAGATGATCTAGAATCATTCTTAATATTAATAAGAATAGGAGAATGATCAGAGAGAGTACGACTAAGTTGCTCAACCTTAGTCAATTGAAAAGCATTAAGCCAACCATCATTAAAGAGAACTATATCCAACCTTTGCCACAAATGGCCACGATGCCAAGTGAAATTATTGCCAGAAAAACCAATATAAATAAAATTTCATTATGTAATCATATCATTAAAATCCTCCATGGATTGATAAATGGGGAGAGAACCCCCCATGTGCTCAGACGAATTAGATATAGTATTGAAATCCCCACCCACAATCCACGGAAGGTTGCAAATATTATGAAACTGACAAATTTGCTCCCATAAAATCCTTCTAGTAAAATGATAAGAAGCAGCATAAAAAAAGACGCACAACATTACAAATTAGAACTTTCAATATTACAATGAAGTACTTGAGTAAAATCCAATAATATCAATTCTAACAAAATCCTTCCAAAATACCCAAATTTTGTTGGAAATATTAGCAAAAGCAGGTTTAAAGCCCATAAAGTTAGCAATACTACGTAATTTCTCAATAGAAATAAGTGGTTCAAGTAACACAAGACTAGAAATGTTATGAATACGACATAAATTTTTAACTCTAAGCTTAGAAGAAGGGCATCCAATACCCCGTACATTCCAAATGATTGCATTAAACATAAAAATAAGATAAATGAGAAGTATTTGAACGGGTATTTCTCGGAGACAAAACAACATTTTTAGGTTTTCTACCCCTCTTTCCACGACCCTTAGAAATGCTCAAATCATGATCTTCTCAAGCATAACATTTATCCATAATGTCCACCTCCGTGTCAGTGTAAGCATCACAATAATAATGGTCAGCTAAAAAAGACTTACTGTCATTTAAAGATCCAACAGGCCACATAGGAGGCATATCACCTTCCATAAAAAGAACACCATCCTCAACGGTAGAAAAATTATTCAAAAAGCCCTCAATAGGAGGGTTCAAAGATAATAAGGAAGAAACCAAACTTACAACCGCAGGCTCAATAACCTTGGAAGCCTTGATACCATGATTAACCTTGGAAGAATAAATGTCCCCAAGATCAAGCACCACTTCAAGATTACTCGTACTATCCACAGGCATAGCATTTTTCCACATAACTTTATCTAAGGGAGAAAGGCTGTTGTTAGAGGGAACATCATCCTGAATGCGCAGTTGGGAAGAATTAGGAACTAAATTAGAAGATGAAACTGGATCATTAGGAATCATTATAACATTCTCATTAATAATAAAAACATTAAAAATTTTATCCAAATCTAACACATTAATAAGAGAAGCATTACTATCCTGCCTTTGCTCTACATTATTATCAACCATGTCATTAGAAGGAAGAGCCTTAACCACTTCCTCAACATTATGAACCAACATTTCCTTAGAGCCAGAATCAGAGCCAGAACCAACACATAACTCTTTTTGTGCCAAAATTTTATCCTCCCCTACTAGAGAAACATTAGAAGTAGATGGGCCTTTCTCCTTACGGAGATTAGGGTGTAAATGAAAACATTCATTAATCCCATGTCCATGCATCCTACAGTGTGAGCAAAAGATAGGTAGATTTTAAATCTCAACTTTTTGGAAATAACCCTTATATTCAGATCCCAACCATATTTCATGAGGATGCTTTTTTGACATATCAAGCTCAACTAAAACCCTAGCCAAAGAAGGTCTACATAAAGAAGCAGTAGCTTGATCAGTTTGTAAGGGTCTACCGAATACAGCAGCAAGACCAAAGAGAATATGAGTATTAAAAAAAAGTAACCGAAGGTTAGGAAACGAGATCCACACCGGGTAATAGGAGATTCCTCCCTCACATCAAAATCTTGTGACCATTTAATCAACCTCATTTGACACCCATGAATATAATATGAACGACGTGAGAAAATACGATTATAAACCAAATTATTAGTAAGTTGTATGACAATGTGTCAAGGATCTAATAAACCCACATTAAACGAGCTAGAAAGCTTAAGAGCTAGAAAAAATTTATGGATCACATCCAGATTGGGTGGGCGCAAAATAAATTTTCTGACAAGGGTAAAAGCAAAAGGCTTAGCAAGCTTAGAAACCACGAAAACTTCAAACAAAAGAGCAGGACAACCTTTAAACGACAATCACACAAAAGGAACCCTAGCCGCTGAAGAGGACAAGCTACCCAAAAAAACATCTTTAAAGGAGCGATTCTTACCATTAGGAACCAAAGAAGCCAGCGGGATGGATGACGTAGGAGATCGACGTCATCTCCCCACCGCCCACAGCCATCAATAGAACCATAAAACACCATGATGAAAACAAAAAAATTAATCATAGAGAAGAAAAAACACGAGACAGGGATAGTACCAGAGGAGGAACGAAGTTACCACTAGGGAAGTAGATCAACACTAGCGAAAATCGCCTGAAGAAACAGAACGAAAGCACCGAACAAGAGAAGCGAGATCGCCACGAAATCTCCCAGAGAGCCCTCGGAGCAAACGGCTAGGGCAGAGCGCTTCCAAACTCACTTTATTTATGAAGTTGGTATATATATATATATAGTGGACCAACAAAAAATCCTTCATAGTCAATGCTCACTAAACACATTTCACAGCGGTTTTGATTAATGTTTATATCATATAATTTTAATGCTGAATAAAATTAATTTATGAAAAAAAGTAACATTTTTCATCATATTTTTACCTTTTTGAAAATTTTGAAGTTAAAAGCTATTTATAATTAAAACTAATATAATAATTGATAAAATCTTCAAAATTATCATAACTTAAACTCTCATAATAAAACTACATTGAAACCAAAAATGTGCACATATGTTAAAATTTATTTATCAAAAAAAAAAATTCTTTAATAACATTAGAAGAGAAAAAACAATACTACTAAATAAAATTAATTTCTATATGCCTTAAAAAATCAATTATATTTTATTTTAATTCTGCATGTCACAGCTATGTCTTTCAATTTTTCTGATAATATCATTAGCTTTTCCCTTTAAACTCTTTGAGTATCCATTCAAGCTATAACATTCATATCATTATATTAAGGATATATCACTAAAGCTGTTGATTAATTACAATTACTCTCATGCTTCATTTGGGATAGTTTTTTTATTATTTTATAAAGCAGCTGTTTAGTATAAAAAAATTTTAAATTATATAAACAGTAAGAAAACTGTTCCAAATGAAACCTCAACATACTGCTAAGAGAATTATACATACAACACTACAAATATCATTGTTGGTTCCTTGCAATGACTTATCGTTCCTTTTTAGACCCAAGACCAATATAATAATTAGGTCCATAAGGCATAAATAATTTAGATAAGAACCCTTTTTTTCTCTTTGGATTGTAACCCATATCCCTACAGAGCTAATCATTGTACCATATATGTATGATCCCTATGCTCGATCTACTATAATACTCATAACTTTATTCCTTAATATATTTATTCCATTTCTTCACATCTTCTTCCATCAACTTTATGTTTGGGAGTTGAAATTCTCCGTCAAGAAGATGTGCTAGCCACATCGCCCTGATCTCTGAAGTATATAAATTTTTGACAAGCTCTCTGAGTATCTAATTATTTCCATTTGGGGAATCCTCAAATTTATGCATTCTCTGTAATACATGTATCGATAAAGTTAAACTTTCTTCAATTGTGTTTGACTTGATAATAACATGACTATGTTTATATATTAATAAAAGTAAGCATATGTACCTATAAAGCGGAACTATATTTTCAAATGATCATGTCATAATTTTTTGTAGTGAAGGAGATTGGAAGATGTTTCAAAGTTTCTCATCACCCTTAAAGCCAGTAGCAAATATCACTAGACCGGCTTTTTTGGGCACAGATTCACCTTCCAGGATTATGCCATCATTGCAAAACTCAAAGCTTTTTGAATTTTTGAGAATAATTCTCTCATTTTTCACCCTTCATAGAAATTTTTAGGTAGCAAAGAAAATAATGAGGAACTCATTTCTTGAAAGAAGCTGTGGTCTGGAACCATTCCATACTTCTTTACTGGGGTGGTTTTCATGATGTAGCTCTCAACAAATTTAGATATAACCCATCTCTATATTGAAAAATACCAATGTGAATGTGAGATATATTAGTACTTGTACTTTGCAGCTAATGAAGTATGTGGAAAAAGCATTTACTAAAGGAGAAAGCAGTGTTGCCAAGAGGCTTAACATGATTCCTTCTCCTGGCTTATGAAAGAGTAGCTATGAGAAGCAATTAAAGTAACAGTAACTCAAGGAGACACCCCAAGCTAAAAAACATCTATTAAGGTCCACCATTTAGTTCGAACAATCATCTTGCAAGGAAGCTTTGCACCTATACATTCACATTTAAGAAAAATAAGAATAAAGTCTATGATAAATTATTATGTGAGAAATAAGTTGCTATATATTTATGGAATGAATCAAAGGTCATAGTTATCTGCTAGATTTTATTAGAGTTCAGTGATAAATATTGCTTTGTACTCATTATCTACTACAATTGATTGAAATATATCGTAAGAGT